CAGGCGAGTGCAGCCGCCGCGCGCCGCCGCCGGGCCCTTTAACGGGCCGGGCCGCACGCGCCGCGTGCGCGACACGCCCCTCGGCCTTAAAGGGCCAGAGGCCGTGGGAAAGGGGGCGCCGCGCGCGGCAGGCGAGCACGCGTGGGGGCACAGGAGACACAGGCGACATGTTTGGGACACGTGTAAGACACAAGGGTGACATATGGGAGAAACGGGGACGTGCAGGAGACAGGACGCAGGCACGCGTGGAGATGTAAGAGGCGCAGGACGCAGGACACAGCATGCATGGATGTGTAGGACACACAGGGACACAGGAGACACAGGCACACATGGAGGTGTAGGGGACATAGGGACAGGGGAGACAGGCAGGTATTGCTTGTTGCTTCCCTGGCGTAATTTAGCAGGGGGACCCCAGAGCTGCGGATCCGGCCTGTTTCCACAGGCACCTGTACGCTGGCTTTGACAGAAGTTTATAAAGAGCAGGGCCAGAGCATCATGGCTCAGAGACAGGCAAAGCGAGAAGACGGGCTGATTGCTTTTCTCCAGGGGCCATTGCCTCCGTGCAGTCACTGGCAGTGATCTTTGGACCCAGGAAGGTGTGCTGAGGTCTCCTGATGAAACCCTGCTGTGTGGGGGGATAGTCCCAGTGTTGGAGAGTCAGCCCACGAGCTCAACCCCAGTGTTGGAGATGAAGCCCGGGCAGCTCCTCCCCAACACGTCGCGGGCATCTTCTGCAGGAGCGACCCTGTCTCACACCCTGGGGAGTGATCAATGCAGGGAGAAAAAAGCACCCACATGTGAACACAGGGCAAAGGCAAGGACTGGGGAGGGCTGCTGGAGAGAAATAGGAGGCTTGCTAAGCCCTTGGCAAGCTTAGCAATAAGGGGTCTGATCCTGACCCCCCCTCCCCCCCTCCGCCCGAGCTTAGCAAGCAGAGGAGGAGCAGCTCTGACACTCTCAACTCGTGGATCCCTTTCAGAGCCTCCTGGGATCCGAGGGTTTGCTCTCCTGCCTGGAGCTCTTCCCCTCAAAGGCCAAAGATGAGACCCCAGAAAGGAGACCGCGTGAGCCAGTAGCCCAGCTCCCCAGGCTGGCTGCACCTGGTGGGTTAGCCCTGGGGCATGGCCTCAGGGATGTTCACTTTGGCATGCAGACAGGGTGAAGATGACAGGAGGCTCGGTGGGACGATAGACTTTAGGAGAGAAGCTGGGCGATGTAGTGAGACAAGTTTTTGCGGGATGCTGAAGAGGTGCGCTCAAGCATTCCTCCAGGACTGGAAAGCTACCTCACACCTTTGTGAGCCATAGACAAAACGTGTATAAAGGCATTTTAGGGTTTTGAGCTTTAGAAAAAGTAGAAGCGCGAGGGAAGTTGGAAGGAAAATGTGCTCCTTAGGAGGGTTAGCCTGTAAGTTTTCCACCTGAAGACTTTTTTGTGAGTCTGGCTGTGGTCAGAGGAAGGACCAGGAGGATTTGGGCTGATTGAACCCAGCCACTGTTGGGTTCAAAACTGCTCCCCATTTCTGCCAGAGGGGCCATCTCCTGCTTCTGTCCGTCTGTGGGGACCTGCTCCCGGCACAGGTATGGAGAGGGCCATGGCAGCACCTGGAGATGTCCCCATGGACACAGGGCACTACCCACTGCCATGTAGACTAAAACAGTCCAAGGAGGACTTTGCTGCCTCCTATGACAGCCCTTTCAGTGTGTGAGAGCTGCTGGCCTTGGGCAGATGCTGCTGGCCCTGGCTTTAGCTGGCGCCAAATTGATATGCCCCAGCACAGCAAACGTGGAGAAGCGTGCCACAAAGTGAAAGGGCACTTCTCCACTCCCCATCCATTTCTAGGAAGCAGCTTCAATGCTCATCTTTTCCTTTCCTGGTGGTGGAGAAGGGATGAAGACATGGAAGGGTCAAAGGATTTGCCTGAGGTTGAACAAAGAATCTGTAGCAGATCTGTGCCTCATCCACCTGGAGCCATGGCTCTAACCACTAGGGAAGGCTGCTGGGACTCATCATCGCCTCCATCCCTGGAGTCATGTAGTCCAAATCTTCATATGGCAGCTGGCATTTCTCAGGCCTGGGCATGATTTGGCTTCCACCCGGCAAGGTCCCAGCATTGAGAAGGTGCTTAGTCACTGCCCTTTGGTCAGGAATCGCCCAGGCTCAGGGTGACCTTGGAAATTTCCGCTTCACCAGCCAGGCCGCTGTGAAGGTGCAGCCCTGCCGAACTGGGAGGGTTTTCCAGGGGAAGGCATGCTGCACCCTGCTCACGGCTGCCCTCTCGCAGAGCCAACGCACAGGCAGTGTGGCCAGGACCCCGTCACCCTGTCCATGCCCTTTGGTCCAACCCCACTCCAGAGCTCCCTCCAGAAGGACATCCTCCAAAGCAGATGGAGGTTGTCGCCTGGGGAGCAATGCCCAGTCCTGTGGCGTCCTGGGCACCCTTGGCTCAGCTCACAAGGGAGCAGCGAGCAGCCCTCAGCCCCCACATGGTTGACCCCAGCCCCTACAGGATCAAGCCCTTGTATGGCACATGTTAATGTACTTAAATATGACTGTGACCCTGCAGGCCAAGGGACCTCTGAGTTCTCATGCTGTCACCAACTGCTTGTCTGGCCTAGTGGGTTTGTGCCTCAGTTTCCCCATCTGAGGTGAATGCAGATTTTATAGGGCACCTATGTACACATTGGACCACTCCCAATGCAGGGCCTTCCCATGCTTTACTGTACAAAAGCTCTAAAAACCCCAGAATATTGGGCTTGGAACTGGAATGCTACAAACATCTGTTGTTATTGGGAGTCCTTGCAAAAGGGGTTCCAAGGGTCATTCTGCAGAACCACCACATGTGCGCAAGGAGCATCTGCAGGGGATTAGCTGTGTCTCGCCGGAGCTGAGCGGTGTTTGCTGAGGAATTACCCCCATCTTGCTGGTCTGGCAAATTGCTGGGGCTTCCCAATCCTGTTGCCAGTTTCCCAAAGCCAGGGCCATATTATATTGTAGTAACTTTGTCAAGGCATGTCAGAGAGAAAGTTAACCTGATCACGTGATAGCAGGGTGGGAAATCCTTCAGGGGCCAGGCCTACCCTGTGCATAGCAGGAGAGTTGCTGTGTAGCAGGCAATGGGGCTGGCGGGGCTCAACTTTCTGCACCCAGCAAACACAATCCCACAAGTCAGCGTGCCGAGCATGTGTGCAGGCTGGCCACTGTTGCAGTGCCACCAGCACCAAGTGCTGCCCTTGCCAAGCTGCTCCCCGCAGCCAGCTGCCCCATTCGGTGAGCGGAACCTGTCTGCAGGACTCCTCTCCCCTCCAGCCTCTGCTCTCCCTGCTTAGCTCTGTGTTTCTTGCACCCTGCACTGCAAAAACAGCTTTTGAGCCTCTCCTGCGAGTGCTGGTGGAAAAGCAGGGTTTGCCTCTCTCCATATTTCCACCTGGAGCATGTGGCCACCAGCTCCTGAAACTCCAAGCACCGTTGACACCTGGGGGATCCAGCCTCCCTGCACCCGTACAACTAGGGTGTGGTTCGGCCGCCAGTTGCCCCAGCCTTTGCTTCGCTGCCCATAGGAATAAGATTTCTCTCCTGTTCCCCGATTTTCACCAAACTTTGAGCGTGCGAGATGTGCACAGCTCAGCCAAATTTGGCTGGAGCTGCCCCGTGCTGCACAAGCTACCGTCACAAGCCGGGCAGGGGCACAAAGCGACGGTATCTCAGGCACGCCGGGCGATCAGGCGAGCGAGGCTGCGTCCCGTTGGGACCCGCAGTCGCTTAGAGCTGAGAGCGTCTGCAAAGCTCCCGGGAGACACCCGCGCGCGCTGCGTCCGCGGGTGACACGCCGCCTCCCTCACCCACTGTGCCGCAGGTATTCGCGCAGCAGCGCCGCTGGTGTAGTGGTATCATGCAAGATTCCCATTCTTGCGACCCGGGTTCGATTCCCGGCTGGTGCAGAGATCACGTCAAGCTTCCTGTGAGTGCTGCGCTTGCAGCCCTCTAATTGTGTAGGTGGAAACCTTCCCCTGCGCTCTGCCGGGCAGCTCGTACAGGACTGCACCTTATTTTTTTTTCCCTCACGTCTACCTTTGCTCTGCAGCTCCAGCTCCCGGGCAGAGCGCAGGCCCCTGCCCCCCCATGCCCCCTCCCCAGGGAGCCAGGGCACAGCCCGGGCCGCCGGGGCCCCGTTTCACCCCGCGCTCTGCCGGCGCTGTCCCGGCAGCTCCATGTTTACCTGCCTGCCCGGGTTTGCGGGCAGCAGCAGATTTACAGGGCCCCCTCCCCACGGGCTGGCGACTTCTCCGCTGCTCTCTCCTCTCCCCCTCCAGACGGGGCTCCCTCCTGCACCAACACCCCAGACTCAGCAGCTCAGCAGGCATCGCGGCCGGG